AAATCGTTCAGAAAATTTCAGCAGTAACATATCGATTAAAACTCCCGGAAACACTACGTATTCACCCAGTTTTCCACGTATCTTTATTAAAACCTTACTACCCTAGTGAGTTTAGAGATGAAGTAAGAAAAGAACCCCCAGAAATTGCAACCGAAGATTCAGAAGAACACGAAGTCGAAGCCATACTAGACAAGAGAACATACTACCGTCACCTACAGTACTTAGTAAAATGGAAAGGTCACCCACTATACGATGCTACTTGAGAACCCTTGACTAATCTTGAAAATTACAAAGACTTGGTAAAAGAGTTCGAAAAAACTGGTAAAACTGTTTTAAATGGGGGAGAGTGTAAGGGAATGTCGCACAATGCACGTGTCATATAACAAACATGTCAGAGATTCACAGAATGATCGTATATCACGTGAAATGTGATGTAAGGTCGGAATCACGTTAGCATAATCGAACATTGAGTAATTAGGAATTGTAATAACTGTGCGTTCGATTCGAAGTCATAATTAAGTAATTGTATTGAGTTATAATTAAGTAATTGTATTGCAATATGTGATATAAATATGTAAAAGAGAGAGAAAGCTAATTAGGCTTTCGCTGGCATTCTTCATAATAAAGAAAAATAAACCCAAGTTGCTTAGTTTTCACATAACAATGTCCCTGACCTATCTACCCTTAATAGATACGGTTACACTCTAACTAATAGGCTTCGAATGAGGCATGGTTGATTTGGTTCAAAATAGAGTATAATTCGATACTGCGGCAGTCACAAGACTGGTTTCAAGGTATACTTACTACTTTTCACACTAGAATTTACTGATATTATTGACACTTCTTATTACTTTTTAATTTTCTCTACTAGTATCTACTATATAGTTTCTTTACTCTTCAAGTGTGCCTGGGTTTCAACGAATTTTTGGGTTCTGATTTTTGTTGTCACGTGTCACAGGATCATGATTCAAGGGTAATTACTATGTATTGGTTTTTTAACAATGGGGTTAATCACAAACTTAATCATTTTTAACAATTTAATATAAGTAGGATTGATTACTAATACGATCTTTCTCTTTTGCTTTTAATGCACTAATGATAACTAGGCTTTTTGAATTCATGAGTACAAGAAAATTCAATTTACGGTTTACGTAATGATATATTATCAAGTGGGGACCTTAAGAGAACTATTTATTACTCATATACTTTCATAGTTATGAATTCTAAAGGGAGTTGTCTTTATTTTGGACGAAATTTTGAGATTTTTATATACATTTTCGTTGGTACAGAATTTTTACTAACTTTTTTGCCATTTCTTCCCTATGTACCATTACTGTCATAACTGTCATAACTGTCATAGCTGTCATAGCTACAATATTTGCCAGCTATGATAGTTTTTGCCCGATTTGATTAAATCGACTCGAACCACTTCAATATTGATCCTGTATGACTTTTCACTTTCACAACGTACGTACACTTTAAATTGAACTCACGTGAAATATAAAATATTACAAGCCTACAAATGACCTCTACTTATAGCGCAGCAGTGACAATTTTAATCGATAATGGTCAGATAACCAATATCGATATAACTCTGACTAAATATGATATTTCGAAGCATATTTTGCTGAAAAATAGTTGAAAAAAAAAAAAATTTAGGAAAGTTATTGACTCAAATAATTGCTAAACACTTAAGTGTTAGTAATCTTCAATAAGTTGAGTTCTCAAACGATTTAAAGATATGAATGTGTTGAAAGACTTTCGCCACCTGTCGTCTACTAAACCTAAAATATCTTAAAACTTTAATGAAAGAAAAGCCTGACTAGAATTTTTATGTGTTACAATCAGAGATGTAACTCTGGTTAAGACGTGAAAATAGAGATCATTTGAAGCTATTTAGTATTTATTTGTTTTGCGTGAGTTTTAATTTGCAAATCGATCAGTAATCAATTTATCTAGCATCAAACTATCTCTGTAAATAATAAACATTACACTGATCATGCCAAGATCAATAACTTATCGAATTGGCCAAACAATGTCCCAAAAATAATGAAAACAACTGTAAGAACTGAGTTTTTACGGATTCATAAAAGGATCGGTTAGAACTCGGTCCAAAAGGGCCGATTAATATTTCTATATTTTCTTAATTTTAACTAAATAGTAGAGGTCATATAATAATGATAATATTTTCAATAATAGATATTACACAAATATCTTCACAATTTTTTGATCACACAATTGGAACAAACGACACTTCTTTACATTTGGACTTTTTCTAAAACAGGCTTGGAGTCAATCTCAAAATAATTAGTGTGATTATTGAATTTTGTAAATCTTATGAATCATGCATTTTACTATTGTGAAAACTAGGATTTACAAAGTTCATTAATTTGAAAGCAGCAATAAATACTTTAATATTTATTGTTAAATATTACTAATTCTTTTATAAAACGTAAGTCTAATTTTTTTTAATGTTTTACTAGAAATAGTTACATAGAATTTTATCAACAAGTCACATTTTATGGAAATATGAATCATACATATTATTTGAATTGTAAATATATAAGTATATGTAAATGGTTTAAATTTTAGCAAAATTTTTCCATTTTCATTATAACGTAATTATTTCACATGACCTCTTTAAGCAACTCTTTACCGTCAAAACTACTTGTTTATCAACAAAGATCTTTTTTTTAAAAAAAAAATGGATAACCAAAGTGATTATAAATAATAAATTGGTTACAGTATCTAATTTGTATTTATTCACAATATTATATTATCTCTTGTCCAGATTTACCTGAACAAGAGGAATGTGCTAGTAATTCTAGCAACTACTCTTTACAAGAATATAGTGGTGGTTCCCATAAAAAAAAGCATAGAAAGCACAAATCTCATCATGATAGATCACGTTCTAATTCATCCCAACAAGAATATACTAGTAGTCCTAGTAATTATTCTTCCCAAGATGAGCATGATAATAGTTCCCGTAAAGGAAAGTGGCATGGGTCTTTATTCTTACAAAAAAGTGATAACAAGCATCATAAGCCTTCCTCCCACAAAAAAAATAGTAAATCCTACGTACAAAGTTCTATTGGACCCCCAAAACAACAGCAAACCAAAATGTCCCAAAACCAAACATTCCAAGCTAAGACATCCCAAGCTAAGACATCCCAAATACAAATGTCCCAAGCCAAGACATCTCAAACTCAAACATCCCAAGCGTCACAAGCCATGACATCCCAAAGTAGAACCAAAACTATACTATCATATGAAGGTATAAATCACACTAGTCAAAATTGAAAATTTCAATATATTGAAATTTTTAATTTTGGTCAATATCACTAAGTATTGTTAAATAATTTTTA